TTTTAATAAATGCGTTTAAACATTTGTGATTGTATTGTCCTTCCTTCAACCGATCGTATTTAATATAGAAGGGAAATGCTTCGACAAGCCTGATTAGAAATATAGATCTAAGGTGACGAATTTATAACAGGTTGGGAACTACATATTAAAAATAGATGCAGATCGAACTAGATCTCATCTGTCGAATTAGGAACTGGTTTGGAACTAAAGAAAAGGGGATGCAGAACGAACTAGATCGCATCTTTCGAATTTGGAACTGGTTCGGAACTATAGAAAAAGGGATGCAAAACGAACTAGATCTTATCTGTCGAATTTAGAACTGGTTCGGAACTAGAGCCAAAGGGATGCAACGGGGGACAATTGACATTTCCTAGGACATCGCAATGTTAAACTCGCCAGTCGCTAGCATGCAAAAGAGAATTAACGCGAACTAGTCATGGTTCCAAACGCACTAGAACCGAACCAGTTCCGCACTAGTTCGTTTCCCTACAGGGCAACTGCGCACTTGGAACGCTGGCGGGTGGAGCACTCAAATATTTGGGGGCTAGATGTCAATTTGTCGTATTTAAGTTTTGTTGTATAAATTCATGAATTTTTCCAACATCCGGCATGGGCTGAAAATCGTACTTACCAAAGGGCTACATGCCCAAAAACATTGCTACGTGTCCCTATTTAATTAAACTTCGTTTATTTATGAATTCCTGCAGAATTGGATTATTCAATAATGATATTAACACATTTCTCCGCATTGTTTACATATTTTCCTATGCGTTTTGACATTTCTCTCTCGCAATTGCACCAAGATGACGTCACGCAAAAATTTCGCTCAAAAATCTTCTCTCATGGGCGCGATCTTGTATTCTATCATTCATAATATAAATTACCTGTCGTCTCGTGGACGTAACGAATGCGGGCGAGTGCTCACTTTTAATATGTTAAACCACTAGACAGCATGTATCGAAATGCAGATCTCTCTCGCATTGCCTCTGCTGCTGCCCCAGATTTTATTCTTGACATTAGCATAACAGCAACGGATCAATTCATAATCATATGGAAAGTTCAGGGACCTGCCAATTGACTATTTCACTTTGAAGGAAAAAAAAGCAGCGGAAACTGAATATTTAAATATTTTAAAGGGCTAACTATAATATGAATAAGCAAGCGTATGCAAACGTGCAAATACACATAAATCCTATTCTGAAACTATAATGTACATTTGCTTAAGGAAAGAGTGATACTGATCGCACCTTCCGTACGGAATCAGCTGTTTGTCCTCGTACGTATGTATGTACATATGTAACACATGCAGTGTTGCCGCATTTATATTTTTTTACCGAAATTGGTAATTTATTTCTTTATTTATCATATTTGGTAATTTGGTAACTTATTTTTCAACTTGGTAATTTTTTCGATTCAGTCCTACATGTAACACAGGTCAAAAGAAGTTCTGGTTCCACATTAGGAAGTGGGCCGTAAGCGCTTGCTTTTACAGAAACACCAGGTAATCCTGAAAGTTTCGCAAGGCGAACAGTTCTTCGGCGTTTCTAGGTTACTATAATTGTGTCATCTACAACAAACTGCTTGATAGTGGCTATTGTTATATCTAATTAAATGTGGCAACACTGAGCTCATGTAAGTAAATATAGCCACCTAAAAGTCGACACTATGTTGCTTATGCAAATGACAGACTTTTCGTTCATTTTCTGACAGTCAGTTACGTCAGCTTATTCATATTATAGTATCTCTTTTCTTATCCAAATCTATAACTATATATATATATATATATTCTTATCTTCTGCTCCAATAATTTTAATTCGTATATATGTATGTAGTTTTGTGTATGTTTAAGGCAAATTTTCTGTTTTAAAACTAAGTATTCACATGCACTGTAATTTAAAACCTCTGGTTGTTGGGCATGTACTTTAATAAATAAAATCAAATAAATAAATAGTTAGCCCTTAACTTTCCCATGGAATAATTTTTTTCAGAACCATTCCATCCGACTCTGAAGAATTTTGGATAATTGCTTACGGAGTGAAAACCGCAACCGGCAATAAAATGTTTGGAAATATAAGTAAAGTGGCCTTCATATTATTATCCTTGCCGCACTCATATGCTTTTGTTGAGCGCGTTTTTCCGTAATGAATTCAACAAAAACTAAGGTTCGAAATAGGACGAGGTTGGAAAGCCTTAATTCACTAGTTCGAATAAAGTGTTATATGAAGGCTAATATTTTCTGCTGCAAAACGTTTTCAATATCAAACAATATACTATCAAGGTTGAGTTATTATAGGTTTCTATTTTATTTTTAGCGCCAAGCTCTTAAAAGGGGATTGTACGATTAATCAATTAATATGAGTTATGATGAATTTAATAATTGCGGAGTCCTATTGCAAAATGTGTTGAAACAAGTATTTTTAAAAAGTATACGTATTTTTTAAGAATTGTTTGTACTTCACTATTATACATATAAGTGATTNACTATTGCAAAATGTGTTGAAACAAGTATTTTTAAAAAGTATGCGTATTTTTTAAGAATTGTTTGTACTTCACTATTATACATATAAGTGATTTGTGTTATTTATTATTACTCTCTGAAAGTATTATATTCGTTTTTGGTTTTAAAAACTATAGTATAACAAGATCTCATTTTTAAAATTGAAGATTTGTTAAATCGATTTCATGAATTTTATAAAAAAAGTTGCGATTTTCGGCGATTTTCTTTCAGAAATTGCGCTTTTTTAAACAATCTGGAAACCCTGATTGGCACCATGAAAACCATCTAGTGCACAGACTCGTGGCTTGTAGACCCAGGAAAAGTTTAATGCATGGTGACGTTTAGGTACAAGGTGGTCCAATATTCTTAGGCTCTTTCCCTATCAAAATTGCTATACCGCTTTTGTGTATTTTTTTCGCCTCATTTTGTCGCACAGTGCTATGTTTAGCGATAATTTGCAGCCATTTTTCTAATCTTTGTGATGGTATACACATACATACAAAATTCGATAATCCAATAAAAAGTTATATGAAGAGATTCAATTTAGCTGTTTTAACACGGTCCCGTAAAAGTTCACATTCCTGAAACACTATCATAGTAAGTCTTTAAAATCGATTGAAACAATTTGAACGTATTTTTGTGTTCCGGCGAAACACATACTTACAACATACTTAGAACTAGTAAATCATTTGGACACATAAGTAAATACACATGTATGTATGTTTGTGCATATCGTCACCCTCATGCCAGAAGCATGAATTTGCAAATTTGACTGTTTATAGTTATTTGGTTGACTTGATTAACCTTTGGATGTTCTATGTTATACCAAAACTCAGAATCCCATTCGTACACGGTGCACAGTGTGCTTTTTGAACACTCCTTGCGAATTAATAGGTAGCGCTTTCGACAAAACCAAGATTTTGATATGAAATAAAGGATTTTGAAAGCTAATGTTATTTCCTTTCACGGAAAAATACTGTCATTGAGCCAAAAGTACTCCTTAGCCTTAAAAAAAATAATTAAAAATAGCGCTCTTCGAAAAAGATCTACAAAAACCACCGTATTTGTTACAAAAAATGCAATATGTAATGGATTTTTCAAATTCTCTATATTTTTTCGTTTATTAAATAGTGGAATCGTGTTTATCGTCTCAAAATCTATATTATTGGTATAATAAAACATTTAGGATATTACATGTTTTTTTCGAATAGCACTATTTTTGACAAATTTTTTTAAAGTTAAGGAGTAATTGGGGCTCAATGCCAATATTTTTCTGTGAAAGGGAGTTACATTAGCTTTCAAATCGATTTCGTTTCATATCAAAATGTTGCTACTATTAATTCGCAGGGAGTGTTACTGTGCGCCGTGTACTAAAACGGAAAGCACATATTTCACAATTTAAATTGCATAAATGTAGAGTTAAGTAAAAAAAAATTTCAAACTTGATTTCCCAAAATTTTCATTTTTACACAGTCATGTTTCTGGCATACGGGCGACTATATCTATAATCTAACCAACCTTTTGAAAATCCACTAATGGGATGATACCGTTCGAAAAAGAAACGATCTCCCATTCGAGAGTTGAGAAATTGTTGTCCTATTATACATTGAAATGTCGGCCCAATAATAGATTCCGGTGCGTGTGCTTCTAATGAGCCACCAATAGCTAAATCTACATCATCAGGAAATGCGTAAAGCTTCTGCATTAATGCGATTTTCTGAAAACAAAAATCAAAATATGTTTCCATATTAAGTACACATATAAACAAACATACATAATACAGTAAAACCCGCTTAAGTACCTCACGAAAAATGTCAGCTGTTTGAGGTACTTAGGCGGGTTGGGTACTTAAAAGAACCCGCTTAAGTACCTCGATGCGGGTACTTAAGCGAACATAATTTGTGATGTAGTTACATCTTCTTGTTAACTTACATAAATAAGTCCTTGAATAAAACATGAACATTTAATGAAGTATACGTAATTTAAAACCAAGATCGTGGCATTATTTAAACACGTAAGCACATAAAGGAAAACTTTATTAAAAAACAGATTAAGCAATGTTATATCATTTTCACAAGAATTAAATTAAAAAGTCATTGATTATACATATATACAAACAGTGCATATCATTTTGGACGAAATTCAAAATGATATTATTTGCCACTTATTTTTATTTTTTAATTCTTAAAATTTTTCAATGAAAAAAAATTCGTTCCCTAACAAATACCACAGAAACTTGAAATATGAACTTAAAATTGTGCAGAGCACTGAAAAAAATTCATCAAAATTTCAAACCTGTTTTTCTGAAGTGTTAAATTTTTTTATGATTATACAGCTTATAGCCCATTTAATTTTAGTGTAATAATGCGAAAGTTTCAAGTGGCTGATTTTTTAGAATTTTTTTGCCGAAGGTGTGAGCGCTGCCACTGAATTTCAAAATATGTAAATGTTTGAAGAAATTTAAAAAAAGCACTTAAAAGGGGAAAATTATAAGTTAAATGGTTAATGGGGTACGAAAAATGTAGGTACTAAGGCGGGTTGGATATCAGAGACTGGCAAACAAAGCTGATTTTGTGACTATAAAAGCGCAGTTAGTCAACGACGTAGCGTAAACGTAGGTTGACGTACGTAGCAGCATATCAAATTTACTGTTGATAGAGAGAGAGAGAGAAGCAACGGCACGTCACCGCCATGCGGTGGTGAATTTTCGTTAACACGCGAATCTCATAAGGTAAATCGAGTCTGCGCCAACCTACGTCTACGCTAGTTTGAGCTTTAAGCCTGCTCACATAAAAAACGGGGGATGAACGAACACCAGCGCATAGCGTACAGTCATAGTTGCCAACTTGGTGCTTTAAGCACTAGATTTAGTGCTTTTTGAAAATTAAAACGCAAAAAAAAATTATTTAGTGCCTAGTGCCTTTTTTAGTGCTTTTTTTCTGAAGTAAAATTACTTCGAGATAGTTAAAACATGAAATAATTTGAAATTTTTAAGGCTGTGGCAGCACTGAATTTACAAGAACCTATAAATTTAAATGGACTAAAATACAACCATGATTGATAAAAAGCTGAAGTTGCAAACCCACCTTGTTAAATTCTATTCGCGTTGAAAATGCTAGTACGCAAGTAAGTTAAGTATTTCTTTTTTTCTTTTCTAATTATTTGTACAAATGTTTTTTTTTTTACCACCTGAGTAAAACACATCGTTTCTTGGTGCTGAATCCAAATCTGGCCTCACAATTGCTCTAGCACTAGAATTTTGAGATATCCTAACCTCAAAGTGCCATAAACACGGTTTTTAGCGATATTTGAGGTTATATAATGAAAACATCAAATTATTTGCTCATTTATAATTAGGGCATCATTTTCGTTTGATGCGATTCGATTTTTCTTTCTCGAGATATACCAGTTTTAATGTGCAGTACTTCGGTATTATGTTATGAAAAAAGCATCCCTTGATTCAAAAAAATTTGGTGCTTTTAGTGTGGTAAAAAGCTTTTTTTCCAAGTTTTTGGTGCTTTTTGAAAATCAAAAGATGGGAACACTGCGTACAGTGCTTGCAAATACAGCCACCACAAGTGAGCAATACTTATAACAGCTCATACTGATATTGACTTCGGCAAAACAGTATTCCGAATGAACGTGCACGAAACCAGCAATCGCCGTATTTGATCGACTGCCGAAAGCACGATACTGCATTAGGACCAGTGTTGCTAACTTTTGATTTTCAAAAAGCACCAAAAACTTGTGAAAAAAGCGTTTTACCACACCAAATGCACCACATTTTTTTGAATCAAAGGATGCTTTTTTCATAACGGTTTGTATTTAACAAAAGCAAAAAATTACCAATATTTACATACATAAATCAATACACAAAACTTTTTCGCTCATAACGATTGAATAGCCTCTATGCTATGATGACTCATGCTTATGATGTCGTACCGAAGTACTGCCCATTAAAGCTGATATATCTCGAGAAAAAAAATCTAATCGCAACAAACGAAAATGATGTCCTAAGTAGAAATGAGAAAAAAATTTGATGTTTTCATTATATAACCTCAAATATCGCTAAAAACCGTGTTTATGGCACTTTGAGGTTAGGATATCTCAAAATTCTAGTGCTAGAGCAATTGTGAGGCCAGATTTGGATTCAGCACCAAGAAACGAT